AATAGAGGATAGAGGAATTGTCGAGTATTTGGGTACCACCGACCGAGAGGTCAGTGGCGGAAAAAAAAGAAACAAAAGAAACAAAAGCCGGCCCTCCTCCGGGGGCGGGAGAGGTGCTCCATCTCTAGGTTGCCCGTCTCAGGGCCTCTTGCTCTTTCGCTTGCCACCAGGTTTGGCGGGGGCCTGTGATCTGCTAGGCAAAGGTGGATTTGGTGTTGTGTATGAGGCGAGACGTTTGGAGGATGATCTTAAAGTAAGTGAAAAAAGAATGAAAACGTATCTAGCTAGCGAAGTGATTTTGCCCTGTCTTATCTTTATCATGCTATTGTTTGCAAGGCCTCTCGGTGTTATCTTTTTGTCCTGGTTGGATTTAAATTCAATTAAACTTTACAAAACTTGTCTGTTTAGATTTAATGACAGGAATGATGTGGCCTCTTCACGAGTTAATTGTTGTTTGTTTTCTTGATCAGGTGGCGGTCAAATATGTCGATAAGACCAAAAACTACAAGGAAGGTTTATGCATTGTAAGTAAGATGCACTCCTCTCACTAACTAGTAGGGAAACTGGACTAAGTCCTTATTTGGAAAACAGCTTCTATCTTACAATCATAATAACTGTCTTTCTTTTAGCATGGGTATCAGCAACTTCTTCCAATGGAGATCGCCCTCACAATCCTGGCAAATAAAGGCCCCAGAGCGCCAGAGATCATCCAGCTGCTGGACTGGAAGGACTACGATGACCATTTCGTCATGATCCTTGAATGTCCCTCTCCTTGCGAGACTTTGGAAGACTTTATGAGGCGTCAGGGTGGAAGTCTCAACGAGAGCTTAGCACGGCAAGTCATGAGGCAGGCGGCTCAGGCTGCGAACGTGTGCTGCCAGCGCCAAGTGTTCCACCGTGACATTAAACTGAACAACCTTCTCATCAACAACCAGACACTTGAAGTCAAATTAATTGACTTTGGGTGTGGGGACATTCTGAGGACAACTGTCTACATGTCATACTGTGGTATGTACTGTGTCTCAAAGCTGCAGTTTGGCACTGTAACTCTAGTGACGATTACATTATGACTTGACCAGGCGTGAGTCACCAAAGCAACAAGAAGCATCCGATATATATAGAATTACGACTGTTACAGTCATGGATGTCGTCACTGTTGTGAATCGAACTTGCACATCTAACAAAATCTTTTTCTTCCAGGCACAGCAATATACTCCCCTCCTGAGTTTCACATAAAGGGGAAGTACCATGGCAAGCCTGCGACGGTTTGGTCACTGGGGGTTCTGTTATTCAGAATAGTGGCCGGATATTTTCCAGATTTCTTAGATCTGCACATGCTCAAACTGCACTTCTGTTTCAAAACTGGCCTGTCAAAAGGTAAATATTATCTTTATCAAGGAGTTCAGTTATCATTTTAAACATACAAACAGGGACAAGTGGCTTTATGAAAGATGGCCGTTAGAAACTGCATTAAGTTTTCTTGATTTCTGATGCCTGAACTCAGATCGTACAGCTAATATGATCAGTAAGTTAAAGCAGGTGTAAAGTTTAAGGTCATAATCAGATGTCCCTCTCGTCTTTCTGCACAGAATGCTGCAGATTGCTCCACGCTCTCCTGCAAGAAAAGCCGAAGAAGCGAATTCAACTGGAGGAAATCCTTTCCCACAAGTGGTTTACGGTACTAAACCTAAGATCACCTTAAAATAATTTAAGACATATTTCAAATTTGAAGTTTTCTTGCTTTGCTTTTATTATTAGATTTAATAAGTTGTACATTGTACCTTATAAACTGTAATTTTTAGTGTATTTACACATGTATTAATACTGTATTTATTTCTGTTTTGTTTCAGGTCACCACATAACACCACATACGATCATCGTGTCAGGACCGCTTCCCACGTATCGACGAGGACACGAAAGGTTCAGTAGACTTTTTGCTTTAAATGAATGGTTATTGTCATGGTGTAAAGAACAGAAACGGCTCTTTGTTAATAATTGGAATCTTTTCTGGGAGCGTCCTAGGCTTTTTCGTGCTGATGGCCTGCACCCCAGCATAGTCGGAGTGGAACTCCTGTCGGACAACATCAAAAACAATTTTTAAAGTTTGGGCTCCTAAACATTAGATCACTCACACCCAAAGCAGTTATTGTAAATTAAATTATCACAGATAATAGTTTTGATGTACTCTGCTTGACTGAAAC